CAGACTGGATTGACGCTGGTTTCTTCCAGTCCTCCGGCACCTCCCCTGCTCTCCATGACCTCTCGAAGACGATGGAGAGCGGCTGAGCAATAACGCCTGCCAGTTCCCTCAGCTCTCTTGGATGCATCCCATCTGGGCCCACAGATTTAGGGGTGTGCAGTTTGCCTAAATAATCCCTAACCCAATCCTCCTTGACCAGAGGAAAGTCCTCCTCTGTCCCGGCTTTCTTGTCTCCAGGCTCTATAGTTCATGGGATGTAGCCTTAGCAGTAAAGATTGAAGCGAAGAAGGCCTTTAGTAGCTCTGCCTTCTCTGTATCCCCTGCTATCAAGGCACCTTCCCAATTCAGGAGCGGGCCCACGTTTTCCCTAGTCTTCCTCTTGCTCCTGAAGCATTTGTAGAAGCCCTTCCTGTTGCCCTGACATCTCTTGCTAACTCTAGTTCCAGGCGGGCCTTGGCCTTCCTCGTTGCATCCCTGCATTCTCTGACAGTGTTCTGTATTCTTCCCATGTGGCCTGGCCCTTCTTCGACATTGTCTATGCTCTCTTTTTCTCTTTAAGCATTCTCAAGCTCTCCTTGTTCATCCACGCAGGTTTCCTGCCTGCCTTGCTCAACTTCTTGTAAGAATGCACCAATCCTGAGTTTGAAGAAGGTGGTGTTTGAATATTAGCCAACCCCCTGGACCTAGTCCTGGGCTCCCTTTCCTCCTAGGACCCTGGCCAGGGGATTCCTCCAAGGAGGTCCCTGGACAGGTCAAAGTTGGCTCTCTTGAAGTAAGTTTTTTGCACTTTCTGGATTTTTTTTTTTAGCTGCGCTTGTACTCTTTTTGTAACTTAAAGGCAGACAGTTTAGCATGCAGATAGTTCCCTAGAATGAAACAGCAGATGCTCAGGGTGACGTTGGGAGTACTGCTCTAGAATGGGTGGTAACAAAGTGGTAACTGGTAACAAAGTGGAGTTAGTGCCCTGCAACTGGTCATTACTACTTAGAACAAATCCTATGAGATGTTGCGAAATCTCTTTGGTGAAGGGTCAGTTTCAAGACAGAGAAAAGAGGGGAAGTGAATTTTCGAAAAGAAAGATACTTGCTACTGGGGATGGATCTCGCTTTAAATGTTCTTGAAGCTTTAAGCAATTGTGAGATTTTTTCAGTTAGAAATTCTATACTTTCTTTTGTTGCACTTCCTATAAGATAAATGCATTGAAGGGAAAAAGTACTACTGTTGAATTATCAAAACTTGACTTATAACGGCCATTTATTAGTTCCTCAGACTTTCAGATTGAGGTTTTTTCCATATTGCGCTGTCTTAGAATGATACCTTAAATATATTGCTTCCCAGCTTGTTAGATCTCCCTCATTCCCTGCACTCCCTCTATGAACCTCGTATAAATTTTGTTGAAACATCTGCGTTTAAAAAGCTCCCCAGAAAGCATTTCATGATTTACTCACTTGCAAATTCTGTATATATATAATACTAACCTAGACACATAGAATTGTTTTATTGTTTAGTTGTTGTTTGAATGTCATTTTGCCCTGCAGTAAGTTTCACTGTTCAACATAATTACCTGGGTTTACAGTTAGAGCAACAGTGTTTTATTTAACATACCTCTTACTTATTTAGGTAGCTAGCTGTACTTAACAGCAAAGACTTTATAATAATTATCTTCAAAGTTTTATCATAGGAACACATGAACTGATTTAATGCACTTAACTATTAGACACATTCTGTTCAATTCTTAATTTGGCTTTTATTCCGTTGTTGGAACAATGCAAAAGGAGAATAACATGTTTATACAGTTTCCTTTCTACTGTAGTATGTTGTTTGAAAATATGATCATTTTGATTACAGAAATAGGATGTAATCCAACAGAGCAAAACCAGATATATCAGCCAAGGGAGACTACATAAGTATGGGGACAGACAGAGATTAGGTCTGATATTTGTAGTTGAGACATTTTGCCGTAATATAATGGATAATGATTTCATATAACCAATTTAGGCAGCTATGTTACGATACAAATTGGTGGGCATGGTTCTTACATACACAAGTTTTCTAGAAATTACGATTTTATAGTGAGAATGTTGAAAGATACACATTAGTGGAGAAAGAATAAAGTGGAACGGATAACAAGACATTTCTCTGGAGATATCTAAATGCTACGATGCAAGTCCTGGTGTTCCTGCTATTGATGGACTTTTATCACTAGTGTGATTTTCTGGGGACCCAACATGTGATGAAGAGGCAGGTACAGTCATTTCCTCCCACCATGCCAAATCATTGAATTAGAAAACAGACTTCAATCTCCTGTTAGTTTTATTCTGAGCACATAAATTGTGGTACCCTTTTTGTTCAAGGGCTACCACCTGTCTTGCCTCGGCATTGCTCTCCTACTTCTGAAAAGGTAGCAAAACTTTGACTTTATTTCAACTTTATTTTTTAAACAGATTCACTAGATACATTGCTTAATATAATAGCTATTTAAAATATTTGGGGATACGGAATTTTCCTCCATTCATATTGTTGTCCTTAATGTTAAAATGCATATAAAACCCTCAAAAATATCAAACCAGACTTGATTTTACAAGGATATTTAGACTAGTGTTTTATTAGCTTTTTATCATTCAAAATTTTAGTGCAACTGAGATTGTTTTGTCTCCGTTACTTCTTTTAAGGGTTTGTCTCTTTTGGTTGTTCTTTACACAACAGTTTTTTAAGGTTATTTTACTTCTATAGTTTAATAATGTCTGCCTGGAATGGTGATAAAAGATTAAAAGGTTAAATCCAATCAATTGTTAATCTATCACTTAATAAATTGTAAACACTATCTCAGCACAAAAAGATGAAAAATTGTCATTTTTTTACCACTTTAAGCAGGTGAAAGGGACATATATATTGGTAAACGTTTTATCTTATCCAAGACAGACTTTCTATACTGACAGCAGTATCTTTTTTAACAGCTTCCAGCACACCAGATCTCGATCTAAAAAGCTTAAAACTACAGAGGATGAGAGAATATCTGCTATGGTAGCTGGTGCAGAAATCACAGCGACAGAAGCAGCCACTGATGACTTCAAGGTCAATGGAAAACTGGGAGAAAAAGTGAGACTGGTAAATACAGGGGAGCCTTCTGGGGAAGAAGAAAACAGTAATGGAATGCAGCTGGATCAACAATCGTTGGATAATGCTGAGGTCCCAGGTGAGATAAAGAATGATTATGTTTCACATGTTAGTCTTGACTGTTGATATTCTAATACCACAAATCAGTAGATGTTGAAGATTATATTTTAAGTAGCATACTAAAAATAATTTATAAAGTTATATAGAGAAGATTGATATACTGCAGGGATAAGAGAATGACCAAATTATTACTTTGAAATGAGGTCATCACTTAAAGTGCTTTATTCAGGTGTTTTTTAAAAGGACAAAAAGTCTAACCTTATTACAGGCTTCAATAGTTTGTAATGAAGAATTTGAAGAACTGAAACCAACAGTGCAAAACATATGCTTGAATATGCTGCATGTTAGAAGCAATACATATTTTCCTTATGCTCAAAAATGCCTGCTTTTGAAAGTCCAGAGTTCTCTTGCTTCGATTTTCCTTGTACTGTTTGATAATACAAGTTACACAGGGCTTGAGAAGTCTATGGTTCTTTTCTCCCCATGTCTATATCAATATACTTGATCTGTTCTGGAGTTTATCCCTTGTGTTAAGTTTTATTTTCAGTTTGTTCAAGCATAATCCTATGCAGAAAGTCAAAATACAGTCTTATCTTTAAGCGTGTATGAAGTCCTGTTGGTTTCATGTTATTAGTGGAAATATGCTTGCGCATAAGGGCGATGTTTCTTTAGTTGTAAATATTAATGGTTATATCAGTCAGAGATGATAAACACCGTCACTGAGTAGCATTAAAGACGACAAAAGGAGAAGTACTCCACTACGGGTGCTTAGAAATTACTGGTTTGTGTTATTTGAATCAAAGCCACTCTAGGTGTAGCTGATAGTTCTTTTTTTTTTTTTTTTAAAAAAAAAGCTAATCCATTACTTTTCCGAGCTTTAACAGAAGTTTGGGGAGTTCATGAACAGTTGGAAACTAATGTGCAGTTGCTATTCTGTGCTCAATTGCCAAGACAAGAGAAGGCAGACAAGGGTGGAGGGCTGTCCCTAAGTTTGTTCCACCAATGTATGGTCTCTGGACCTTTGTAGGGAGAGGGAACTGCTGGATGTGATCATGGAAATTCCATTGCTCACATTGGAGCTGAAGGCTAGTGCGTCCTCGGTGCTCAGTCAACACGGTATTGCTTATACTTAGGGTTCTGTTTCAGTTCAGGATGGGCTTTATGAGACTCTATTTTATAATCAGAAGTGGAATTTTCAGGAAAGCTAATTCAAGTAACCACTATAAAGGTGGATAAGAAAGAGACTTTTCAGATACCATTTCTTTTAAAATTTTGAATGTGACATATTTAAAATGCTTTTATATGTAAAATAGAGTTCCTTAGGACCATTTTTTTTCTGGAGTGACTCTTCCAACCCAATGGTGTCTCTATTCTATGGGAACACCAGAAGATAAAGAATTCTGATAATGTAAAATATCCACAAATTCACTGATCACTATCTTGGAGGTATAAAAATACACTAATTGCTTTTCTGTTTTAAGCAAAAACTATTGTTTTCAATATTTTTGATAGCTGTTTTAAGTGTATTTTCCTAATTATAAAGCATTACCCTATGTTTATTTACAGTTTTTGTAACGGATATAGTAGGTATAAATGCAGAGCATAAAGTTAATATAGTAATCTTTTATATTGCTTTCTTCTCCAGTTAGTCAAAGTGCTTATTTCCTGTAGAAATAAGCAAGCTATGTTAATATAGATTATTTGGAATGACAGAAAAATACTCCTGTAATTCAGCAAAAAATATTGAAAAGATTAAAACTGTATATCACACTCCAACTCAAAAATATTTTGATCAAACCTGAACTACACAATTGGGTATGTCTTCCTTTTACTAATACTTCTAACATATGATTTCTAAATGAAGAACCAATGCAGATTGTTGTGAAATTAAATATAATAATATAAGGGATATTTAATATGTAAATATATAAATATAAAGTAATATAAGGTGATGCTTATTAACTTATTAATACTTATTAATATTAAAAATATTCTTGTTCTATAGGAAGTGTCTGTGCAGAATCATTCTCCAGCCCTGTTCCACTAGCAGAGGAAAAAAATACCGAAGATGAGGACAAGACAGATTCCAGTCATCATCCACCTAAGTTTGAAGATTGTGTGCTGACCCAGCCCGCTCCTCATACATGTGGAAAGGAAGAGTGTTTGAAATCTCAGAATCAGTCAATGTCAGCCATACCATACCCTAAGTCACCAGGACATGTTTCTGAAGCAGAAAACCCAGAGAAAGTGGAAAGCATCTCTACAGAGGATGATGTCAGTGACTTAGAGAGCACTCAGAGTAGCTTGGAAAACAGAGAAACACCTGTTATAGAAAAGGATGAAGATGATGGCACGGAAACATACAGTGTACGTGGAGCATATTACATCATTGTATTAATATATTCTTATTTTAAGGAAATGTGAATGAACATATTTCTAATGAGACCAGTCCAAATTAAAGCACTTAAGAAAACATGTGGCCTTAATCAGATGCTAGTTGGAAGTGTTCAAGTGGCAGTGCATTCTAAAAAAGCAGAATGTTTTTACCACTTACTTTTTGATGTATTTTCATTCTGATTTTAGCTGTCCAGTAATCTGACATTATACCTGTAAATTTGAGCTGTCAGTCTCTAGAGTTGAGCTACTCCCATTTTCTCTGCCTGCCAGTATGGTCACAGAATCTCAGTGGCTGATTCAATACCAGTTTGTCAGAGAGAGCAGACAATCTACTGCCAGATTGCCAGGCTTATGGGAAATGCATTTCAGAAGTCAAAATAAAATCACAGTCATCATACTGCACTTCAGACATGAACTATACACTAGTGGTTTTTTTCCAGTGTTTTGCAGATGGATTTAATAATCCTGACTCCAGCTCTTGCACTGTAACAGCATAGAGGACCGTGAATATCTTCTCAATATTGTAATCACCATGTTTTAGAGATTATATTTATCTCTTTCTGTGCCACTCAACCATTTATATTTGTGTTTTCAGATACTTTGTAGTGTAACTGTATATACTCCTTCCTTCTTGCTGTAGTGAAGTATGTTGCACAGATGCAATTGAAAAGGCAGATCTTCTTTCCCTTTTTACAGAGTTCATAACTTTTTTTTGTTGATAGTACCTTTTTTGGTTTATTTTATATTTTATAGTAGGGGATTTTTAACACTCAGCGCTGCCAAGGGGTGGGTGTATAGGTTATGCACAAGATATGGAGGAGAATGGTGTGATCTATGAAACTCATCTGATACCAGTCAACTTAGTGATTTTCCCCCATACCACTGACATTTGGAGTTGGCAAAACAGCACATTGGGAATCCCAGTTTATTATATTGATCCTGTATGAGGATTTCTTAAAATGTCAAGTACTGGTTTGCCTTTACTTCCAAAGGGATAGTGTTCCTCAAGTTTTTGTACTGTTTTGTGAATGGTTTCAGTGGCATTTCAGAGGCATTCACAGTTGCCTCTCAGCAAAACTTTTTTGGTTTAATTCTTCTCCTGGCTGTGCTGAATTATTTGGGCCACCCTTCCAAATGCCACCGGAACAAAACATGTGGCAAATTTGAGGAGGTCTAGAGTGACCTCCTGACAAATTGTATTTGAAAAATCTTACTTTTAATTCAAGACTGTTTTGGAGTGATGACCCTACAAAAATAGAGTGCTGTCTTAGAGACCGAATGAATGGAGAAATCAGATAATGGTTGGTTGCAGACTTGAGAGAATTTTTGACCTGTTGATAATGGTATTTGTAATTGGCAGCTTGCATACAGTGGGAGACTTACGAGAAGGGCCCAGGAGTCCCTTGTGCACAAGCATGTAGACTAAAATGATTCCTTCTCCATAGGTATTTCTCTACAGTATGAAGAAAGAGAAGAACAGAAAAGCAAAATCATGTAAAATCTGAGGGACTAGATTGTTCAATAATACACCTAAGCTGCTGTGCACTGTGCTGTCTGCTAATTGCTCTTATTTGACTAAAAATAACTTTGAATATCTATAATACAGAAATATATTTAGGTTAGTTTTTATGGACTTCACGAGAACCTTTGGTATCTTCACAGGTTTGTTTTGCAGTGTGTGAGAATCTGTGATACTTCTTGTTGTCTGGCTTTGTATTCAGATTCCTGCCAGCCATCCAGATCCTCCTAAACCTGCTGAAAGTTTTGAATGGAACCTTCCTGACCTTGAGATGTACTCTCTTTTTTTGTCAAGTCTAGAAATTACTTCTGGTGCTGTTCCTTGAGAAATACTCTGATTGCATCTGTTTTTTTCTTCTTAAAGAAATCTATGTTATGATGTTAGTAGTAATTGTTTGCAGATTGAGAATATTATGCTTGCGTTGACCAATAAAACTTCATACATTTCAACAGAACATTGCATTCATCAACAAGAAACGGTGTCAAAATAGTTTTGGTAGTCTTATGCACAGAATCTAAATATACATTAATTTTCAGCCAGTGTAAATCTTTATTCAGTCAATGTGGTAATTCTTATTTTAAGTATCTGTTAATTTTTGGTTTTATTTTTCTGTAAGGGAAAGATATTTAAGTAGTGCAACTGAACCATTAGTTCCTAATTTCCCTTCCTAAATTCCTTTCTTCCTCCTTATTCCCAGAAAAAGTCACTCTTTACTCTTTTCAGACTAATATTAGTCCACTGTGTGGATTTATTTATTTTTAGAGGGTGAATGAATCATTGTGCTAAATGCTAGATTATTAAGAAAAAAAAATGGAAATTTTATTGGTGCATAAGAGGTGATTAAAGTATCATAATAGCCCTTAACTAACAAAATTGACATCTTTCATTTGTAGAATTATTTAGTTCATTATTATTAATTTTGCAGAGAAAAAAAACTAAATTTGTTCTGTTTCTTTTTTCTTCTTTAGTCAGCAGAAATTGAAAGAAAGCAAGCATCTAAGAGTTGGCGTCATCCACTAAGTAAACCCCCAGCCAGATCTCCAATGACTTTGGTTAAACAGCAAGCAACTAGTGATGAAGGTATGTGTAGAATTTAATGTCTCCTTGATTATGTTCTTGTCTATATGATATCTGGCATTTGCAAAAACAGTGAGAATGAAATAAGTTCTTCCTATGTAAGAAATGCAAACAAGGTAGCAAAACTGCACTGAAATCTTTCGGTGGGGTCTCTGAATCCACGCTACTCTTTCTCTGATCTTACTCAGATTCTTCTAAAATCTGTAAATTGTAAATAAGGTAGAAGGCCTGCTTAAGACTGAGAGACTTGAGTCTGGTTAGTACTGAGTAGTGACTACCTAATTCCATTTTTTAACTACCTGGTAATTTTTTAATTACCTGAACTAGAAGCCTAATGTTAATCAGTATATCTGAACAAACCAGACCATGTCTTCACTGTAGATCACGGGTATGAATATTATCATATATGATATGGTACCTTCGGGTACTCAAGTAATGAAGGGAAGTAGAATTTTAAAGAAGAAACAGGTGTTTGATAATATTGATGATAAACCACAGCAATATATAGAGTAGTCAGCACAGAAAATAAATAAATAATTCCGTAATCATAAAACTCACTGCTCTGTATCTAGATACCACAAGTTGAATAATACTCAAAGTTGAAATAATACTCAAAGCTTGTCCGACTGTCTTTGTTTTGGATATTAACTGAGTGCTTTAACTCTAGAGAGCCACCATTTGTGGACAGATTGCAAAAGGTAAGCAGTTTACCCGGAAAAGGGATTTACTGTTCTGAAGGAAATAGAAAAAGTAAATCAGCTTTACTAGCAATCACATATACAGCCAGCTGAAGTCGATGAATAAAGCTACTTTCTTCTATCAAATGTAGCTTGTGACGCTTATTGAACTGTGCATCAAGCTATCCATCAAATGGAAACAAATACATGCCTTGTTCATATTGCGTTAGCAGTTGGTTATTGGTATTGGTTCTATAAATCGTGGATCTATTAGGTACTGTTGTCCAAAATCTCTCGGGAGCGGAGCGTTGGGTGCTCAGCGCGGTGCAGGAAGCGGCCGGCGCCAGCTCTGTGGCCGCGGGACTGCGCTGCCAGGGATGTGTCTGGGGCTCCCGTTCGACACTGCCAAGTGGCACAGGAGCCTTTTGAGCTTTGTGATTTTATTCTTTCTCGATTGTCACCTCTAGTGAAGAGTGGTTGTTTCTTATGGCTGCTGAAGCAGACATCCCTGACAAAGACAGAGAACTTGCCTATAAACTGGCAAGAGAGAACTGTCTATAAACCTCTCCCTCTCCCTCTCCCTCTCCCTCTCCCTCTCCTCTCTTTTACCTGGCACCAGTTTAGGCCCGCTATAACTAGCCCCTTGGCCAGATATCTCCAATCTTTTTTGAAACCTAAACTCGCTTCGTCTTTCTCATTCTTTTTTCATCTGAGCCTTAGGTTTTCTGGATGCAATGTATCAATTAGCTGTTAAGCATCTTTCTGAAAATTAGGGACAGCTTAAGTCTGTGATCCTTATCTCATATGGATCTGTTGGATAACTTGAGGGGCTAGACAGAGTACATTTCAGAAAGAGTTATGGTAATTTACACAAAATGAATGATATTAAGATTCATCTAGTAAAGTGGTTACAGATTTAAATATGTGATATGCTGGAGTGAAATTGCTCTTTTTTAATTAGTGATTACATTGTTTGTAGTGGTTGATATTTTTTAACATTGGCTGTGGTTAAAACATATGGAGAATTTCCTATTTTAGCATGGACTGTCTATGATGGAGCTCACAATCTGGCCAGATGATGATGATGTGAAGACAAAGGCTTGGCAGCCTCAAGGGTTCTGTTTTCTTTTTGCAGACCTGCCCAGGAATTTGTCAGCTTCCTGGCATCTCAGCAGAGTCCTAGTGTCTCAAGGACTTAAAATATATTTGTTTGAGTATGAATCATTATTCTGTGATTCTGTGATCTTCGTTTTACAAGAAAATGAAAAGTGAAAGTGAGAAGCAGCAGGACCCCAGTGACATACTATATTCCAGCATATACCTGGTGGTCTTCCTTGTGTGCATGGTGGTTGTCCTTCTCAGACATAAAGGTGTTTTTTGCTTAGGGAAGAAAAGGCAGTTGTTCTAGAATCATGGCAACTGACTCTTAAGTGCTTATGTAGGTCCTGATTGAAAGAAGTAATTAAGAGGCAGTTAATTAATGGCAGTTACTGGTATTTTTTATCTGGAAAACTGGAACTTTGAGGTTTTTTTCATACATCTGCTTTTTTAATTCGTAACTTATCAACATGCTTTTGAGAGAACACAAAAAGGACCACAGTAGATTTTGGGGGTGTTTATACCCAGGGTAGCAGTTAAAGAACTGGATGTCTGGAAGGGCTGTCAGGCTGCATCCTGACATGGAAGTCAGAGTCCTGTCAGAGCTTCCCATTCAAAGGAGACTTTCCTGAGTTTCATGTTCCCCGTATGACTGTGTTTCATCAGTATTCCGGACTTAACAAAGAATATAATTCAGTATGTATATTTACACAGTCCTTGCTCTGTGGTTCTCTAAAAAAGTGTTTCCAGTTTTGACTAGAAGAGTCTTGATACCATAACTTCTGTGCAGGAGGCCAGACATGACTCCTGAA